CCAACGTGTTCCTTGTAAAGAGTGTGGTAAGCCAAATGCTTCTGATTATAAGTTATGTAGTTTACATGTGAAAAAATATCATTCTAAAGCACATTATCATTGGAAAGAGCTCGAGAAGCTCATCAGAGCGGGTCTGAGGTAAAAGACTATATTTTCGATCATTTACAGAAATCCGTCCTAATAAAAAAAAATCCGTCCTAGCTTGAAAAAATAACTAGGACGGAAGAAAGGTAGCTTGGTGCTAAATAAAAGGGTTTTTGACCACGCAAAAAATCCATCCTAGTTGTCCTAGTAAAATTTTGGAACTTCTTTTTTTTTTTTATTTTTTTTTTATGTATATGTACATATACCGTATATGGGGAGTCTCGAGCGAAAATGAGTCAATTTTGAAAATCACGATTTTAAGAAAAACCCCCTTAAAGTTGCAGATCTTTTTAAGTTCAATATGTTATTGCAAACAGTTTTCTTGACATACACACCCTAGACAAAAGTTTTCGGACACCTGTTTTTATTGATTGCGCAAAACTGCACATAATAACTATACATAAAATTTTATCAAAATGTAGCTTAGGTTTTGATAAATATATATGCAAATTTTGGTAATCTTAAAATGTCTAATTAAAAAAATCCGAAACTCGACGAAAATGATGATGATCAACAAAATATTTATTTGTATTCAAAAATTCAAAAACAAATAAATAACTGATAAAAAAAATGAAATAAAGTTTAATATTAATATCGAGTTGGCCATCCACCACTAGAAATGCATGTCTCAATTCTTCTAGATATGCTTTCTATTAATTTGTAGTAAGATTTGTATGGAGTTCTTGGCCACACTTCTTGTAAAGCAGCTTCCAATTCGTTGGCATTTTTGGGGTATTGTGTTTGCTTATCTAATCGTCTCTCTACTTCGCTCCAAAGATGTTCAATTGGATTAAGATTGTGAAGACCAAATTAGGTACTTTCATGAAGGCTCGAAATTTTTTCTCTTCGTTTTTTGACATTTTTACATTTTTAAAAATTTTGATTTTTATAAATGTGATTTTATTTACTAATTTTTTTAATTTTATTATAAATTATTTATGCTAGCCAAAATCACAAAATTTTGCATTCATATTCTAGATAATCTGAGCTACAAATTGACATAAATTTTTATTTTTATTATTATGTAAGATTTTGGGTAAATTCGAGAAACAAAAAATGATATCGCGATTTTTGTCGAGTTTCGGATTTTTTTAATTAGAATTTTTCTAGACATTTTAAAATTACCAAAATTTACATATATATTTATCAAAACCTAAGCTACATTTTGATAAAATTTTATGTATAGTTATTATGTGTAGTTTTGCGCAATCAGTAAAAACAGGTGTCCGAAAACTTTTGTCTAGGGTGTGTATCTCGAAATTTTATTAAGTATGGGTATATTTCTAAGATAAAAAGATTCACTGACACAAATTATATATTATTATATCATTATCTCGAAAATGACAAAAAAAAAAATTTGACTCATTTTCGCTTGAGACTCCCCATATATACCATATATAAGAAAAGTTTCATTTTTTTTTTCCTAGAATTTTATTTTAGTTTTTACTAGGACAACTAGGACGGATTTATATAAAGTATTAAAAAACAAGATAAATCAAGGAAAAAACTCTTTCTCCTATAACAAAATCCATCCTAATTAACTTTTTTTTATTAGGACGGAACTAGGACGGAATGGGAGGCATTCATTTTTATATCATTTTTGGGTTTACTTGGTAGCAAAAATAATTTTTTCTATTTACAGTATCTTAGAATAAAGGTGTATCTTAGTATTAGGTTAAAATTGAATTTATGCTAATGATAATCATAATATTAAACATTTATAAAGAAGATATTAACTAACTATATACTCGCCAGAAAGAAAAATATAATAATACCTCCACGAAAAAAATATATAATAGTTACACATAAGAAGAAATCAACTCCAATGAGTATCGAGTCCTTTAAAGAATTAAACTTGAAATTTGATTCTGTTATTGCTGAATTTAAAAAGGAAAAGAAAGCACTCACTAATATTAATGCCAAACTTCATGCTAGGGTTAAAGAGTTAGAAAATAAGTATCTTCATGATCATGATAGAATTTCGCACCTAGAAGACACTGTTGATGATCTAGAAATTGCCACTGATGATATAGATTATCAAAGTGAAGAGAACAATGCTAGAATTGCGAAATTAGAACAGACTCAAAAACCATACAATTAGTTTCTTTAGTAATATTTTATTCTGATACCTTGACCACGAATTTAGAATTCTTTGGAGATCGGTGTTATAATTTATAACGCGCACGTGATTTTTTTCTATTTTGAATCTAAATTTTTGACGTCTCTTACAAATAAATGTAGAAAAATTCAAATCGGAAATTATGCTTTGATGGGCCACCAAAAGTCCATCATTATGGACGTCCATAACGATCACTAAAAATTACAACGAATCCATAAACCAATCGTAGTCCAAAGCGGGGCTCAAATATGACAACGAATTCATAAACCAATTGTAACTCAAAAGTATGATGCAAATACGGATTCTTCCATGAACCCAGAATGGACCATCAGTCGGCCTCGAATGAAAAAACAATCACGAATTCTTCAAGCCTAAAAGTACGACGCAAATGTAAATACGTCATACCTCAAAGTATGACACAAATGTAAACACGTCGTACTTCAAAGTACGACAAAAGCACGACCCAATTGTACATTGGGATGGTTATAATCCACACTAAGTGGTATATTTGTAGTCTGTACAGACTACAAATATATCACTCATTCAAATGCAAGTTATCCATCTATTATATTTGTTTTGAGTGTCAACATTAGACAGTCATATTATTATTATATCAATATTTTTGTTTTATTCGTTGCGTTGAGCAAAAAATTGTTTGTTTGTTTGTTCACATACAGGGGGAATCGTTCACGAATTTAATAAATTTAATAAAGGATCCATCGCAGAGAAGAACCCTCATGTGAATCAAAAGTTATTTACAAATCTCAATTGTTAAAAAAAATCAACAAAGCTTTTTTTTCTTAATAAAGAAAAAATTTTTGCAAAGATTATTTCAACTAAAAATAAAATTTTTCTTATCCAGATAAAATAATAATATAAACTTTTCCTATCCGAATCATCCGCAATCAAAAAAAAATTTTACATATTGTTTGTTTATTGATCATTGAATTGACCGATAATAACAACAAATAAAATGTAAAAAAGTGTTTTTAATCCCGGTCTCGTGACCAGAAAATATCACTAACATGTTGTGCGACAAGCCTTTGACGATCTGAGGTAAAGGTTCCAAGACAAGACCATCAGTTTTTGGTCATTTTGAGCAGTCCGAAACGTCGGAGCAAGACGAAGACATAACAGTAGACAACGGTTGACACCACGCAAAAAACACCTAAAGCAAAACACGATTTCCTTTCAGTCAAATATCTGTTTCGCTCAACCCTGACATTTTGAAGAGGTTTTTCAGTTTCACAAACCATGAAAAACAGATAACAATTGGGATTCACACGGTACGGTGACGTAAAATAACCACAACCATTTATCATTTTTTTGGAAACGAAAATATTTCTGTTCAGATTTCAATTTTAATATATATATTAAATATGAGATCTCAGATTTTTTTTTTTGTATTACACAAATATTATTAATAAAGTTCAAAAAAACTCACTGCGCATCCTTTGCTAAAATCTTGTTTTTAATTTTTATTTATTAATTATTTGTATAACGTCGTAATTTATTTCTTTCAATATTTTGAAATATTGTTACAATTTTGAAATATTGAAATAACTTTTCAATATTGAACGGAAATTTCAATTTGAAATATTAGAATTACTAATTAATTGAATTGTATATAAGGAGCTTGAATTCGATGTACTTGTAAAGTAACTTTCTAACAAGTTAATTAGTTTCGACTAAGAAAAACTAAATAAATAAAATAATAAATATTTTATTTAAAACTTTTATCTTCTTTACCCAAAATTATTCGCTAATAACAAAATCAATTCGTTGATCCCTATTCATTCTGATCCACACAAAACAAAAATAATTGTTATCACTAATTAAAAATACGCTCTCCCAAAATTTAATCGGTGACACATGTTTACAAAACGTTTTTGAATTGCTTTGGTTTAGATTTATATGGTTTTAATAATATGTTGAGTTAATAAAGGTGGTAAAGGCATTTTCTCGCGTTTAACTTGTGGTTTGTACTACTGGTCCCGGACACGTCCGCATGACAAATTGTTACGCGGACATTTTTGGACAGTGTCCATGTCCGCTCAATATTAGGCGGACATGTCCCATGTACAACACTGCTAATTTAGTAACTATATATCACTCATTTATTATTATAGACACAATAAAAATTTTTTTTAAAAAATAAACATTAAAAAGTTAAAAAGTCTTTTGTTAAATTAATAACACGGGACAGAAAAGAATTAACACTGAGAATTAATAATGAAATGATGAATACTGCTCATTATGCTTTTCCAACTATTTCTAATTCTGACCTTGAAAATTATAAAAATTATTTTTTACAATTAGTCAAAGAAAATAAAGTACTATTAGAAAATGAAAAGGAATATTGTAGAGCAAAGTATGTTCATTATTTTGAATTAACCAATGCACTTGATAAATATGGTGAACCAAGAGAATGTAATAATTGTGAGACAACAAGATACTCTGATAAATATTGTGAAAAATGTATTAGTCTACACTTACAGAGCCTTTTCAGAACTTGGACATCTGGAAATGAGATAATTGATAGCTTTATTCAAAAATGTCAACAGCTTTCATCTCTTCCAAAGCATATTATAGAATGGATACCTTATGAGCAATTTTATGGCATAGAAAAATTAACAGAAGGTGGATTTAGTTCTATTTATACTGCATGGTGGACAAGAGGAGCTATTGATGATTATGATGAAAATGAAAAGGTGTTTAGTTATTTTGGAGATCAGGGTATTGTATTAAAATCATTAAATAATTCAAGTAATCTGGGGAAATCTTTTTTTGATGAGGTAATTATTTAAAATAAGCCATTTATTTTATTTTAAATTAATTGATTTTATTTATATAATTAATTTCAGGCATTGAATTATTGTAAAATTAAATCAAGCTTAGTTGTTCCTTGTTTTGGTATAACTAAATTCCCAGAAAATGGAAATTATGCAATAGTTCTTAATTATCTGAAAGAGGGAAATTTAAGAGATTATATACAAAAAAATCATTATAATTTAACATCAAAAGATAGAATTAATCTTTTTGTGTATTTATGTGAAGCATTATATCGTATACATTCAAAGGATTTAATTCATTGTGATTTACATAGTGGTAATATATTATTGCAAGGAGGTGGTTGTTATATCACAGATTTTGGATTATGTGGACCAGTTGATGAAAAATCATCAAATAAAATTTATGGAATTGTATCTT